CAACTTGATGCTTTTAAGTGGCTTCAATTACAGTCACCAGGAGAACCATAGTAAGACTACTTCATATTTTACAGTGAGAAACCACTGACTATTTTCTAGAATGGCTAAATTTCAGTGAAAATATTGAATTAGAATTCTCATTTACTACTGATGGTGATGTGGGAAACAAAGGCAAAAGAAACAATTAAACCTCTTTACTGCCAACAGCCCATTGCCAAGTCCTTGAAACAGGTAGATTGACCTTCCTGTGGGAGCTCAACTGCTTGGATGTTGACTCTTTGCTAAGGGCAAAAGACAACCTTACAATAACGTCCCTACCTCCCAGGATCCTGTGAGTCTATGTTAACGTATAAAAAATTCTGTGGAGACTTCCTTTATCTCTACCTCCCAAGATACGTGTTAGTAATTATCCCCCAAGCATATGGCCCACCAATATACATCTGAAGTGTCTAATGACTGAGGGTTTACTGAACAGAAATAAATGAGCTTTTCCCTAAAAATAGCTAGCCCTGTCAACATCCTGGAAGCCTTGTTCCCAAAATGCTTTGGAAACTTGTGCTGTCTTTATTCCTCTCCCAACTTGGAAGTGTATAATCAGTCACCTGTTGGAACCGAAGCGCAGCTCTATCTGCCCACGGGTCCTGTCCCTGTGCTTTAATAAAACCACCTTTTTGCGTCAAAGATGTCTCAAGAATTCTTTCTTGGCCATTGACTCCAAACCACAACATTCTACATAAATGGGAATTTAAAAAGTACATTCAATTTGGAAAATTATTCACCTACGGAAGGAGCACATTTTGTCACCCCAAAATATGTCTCTTTAGCATAAGGCTTACTTTAGGCTGGGTTTTTTTTTAAATTTTTTTCCTTAAAGATTTTATTTATTTATTTGAGAGAGAGAGAGAGAGAGAACATGAGAGGGGAGAGGGTCAGAGGAAGAAGCAGACTCCCCACTGAGCGGGGAGCCCGACACGGGACTCAATCTGGAGGCTCCAGGATCATGACCTGAGCCCAAGGCAGCCGCCCAACCCACTGAGCCACCCAGGTGCCCCTAGGCTGGGTATTTTAGAGAAAGAGCAGACAGGAGTGCCTGGGTGGGTCAGTCGCTTAAGCGCCTGTCTTTGGCTCAGGTCGTGATCCCAGGGTCCTGGGACCGAACCCGCAATGGGTTCCATGCTCAGTGGGGAGTCAGCTTCTCCTTCTCCCTCTGCTACTCCCCCTCCTTGTGTTTTCTCTCTCTCTCAAATAAGTAGATAAAAACTTAAAAAAAAAAAAAAAAGAAAGGAAACAGCAAAGAAAAAGCTCTGAAACAGTCTGGTTATTTTGTAAGAGACCTTTGCATTTCTAAGGGAAAACTTCATTTTTAAGACTGTCTCCTTCTGTGTAGCAGAAAGAGGGAGAAAGTGTAAATCTCCAGAAACTCTATAATCAGTGGACAAGGCATGGATTAAATCGGAATATCAGCCATAGCCTCGATTACTGCTTTTTGCCTGGTCACCTCCCCAAATGCTTCCCAATAGGATCATGTGTGAGTTTCAAGAAAGGATCATATCCGGTGCCCCCCAGCCCAGATTCTGTCAAGCCGTGTGGGTGGGAACAACAGTGTTGTTTTAATTAAATGCTCCAGGTGATTCTAGGTGCAGCCAGGGTTAATTGGAGGGCTTCCCATGAATAGAAGACAGCTGAGTGTAGGCTTTGGCTCAAGGAGGAGTAACATGGTCTCCTGTACGTGAATCTGGAAGCTTCAGGTCCATGCGTCACACTTTTCTTCTTTCTTTCTGCTCCAGCAGAAGTTGTGTGTGTCTGGTTGGGGAGGCGCCCTGAAAGCAGAGAAGGAAAAATTCAAAGATTGGTCTCCAAGGAGGAATTCATTGTTTCTGAATAGCTCCTGACACAAAAGGCTAGGAAATTTGGCCTTTTCTGCATTTCCAAATCCTACCTGCAGGCGAGCAGTTTACAGGTGAAGAGGCTCTGTTGGTGGCTTTAAAAGCATTTTCTCCTGATGCAGCTGTGATTTCTCCTGGACTCTCTTCTGAGGAAGAACTCCAAAGGAGGAAGTGAAAGAAGAAATGGCCAGTTCTCAGGTAAGCTTTGTTCCTGAGTTCAGAGGCCCTGTCATCTTTTTCTCCTGAAATTCGTCACATTTAGAAATTGCAAATACGGATTTTTCTAGTTCTGATGTTTCTGCTTTATGTTTACACCTAATTTTTTAAACCTTTTCAGAAATGATACTCAAGATTAGGTCTTTAGGACACTTTTCCCCTTTAAGCCAGAGCCTTCTATCCCTTCTCTCCAACCTGGCTTCCAGTAGGCCATCAACAGTTGTCACAGTGAATGAAAGACCTGCCCACCAGTATTGAAAATACTACCTTGGTGACAGATCCACGGGGAAGGTGTGGAGTTAAAGATTCCTATTGCTGAAAAGGGTCTGGTCCTGCGGTATCAGTGAAGGAGAATGGTCTTATTTAGGTCCCATCTGGAAACTTTATCAGCTCTATGTAGACTAGGAGTAAGAAAATGCATAAATAAACACAGTGGATGTGAGGCCCAAAATAACTTGGAATATTCTCTGAGAAAAAAATAGGGGGGGGGTCGTACACTTTAGAATGTGGAAAAGATACTGTATCTAAAATAAACTAGATATTACAGGACAGGGAAAGTGTAGGTGATTGAAGTTTGTATAAATCAACTGTATTCTCATAATTTGACATTCTGATTTACTGTTTAGGAGCCACAAGGATGTGGTGCCTAAATGGAGTGTCTCTTGATCGGATGGGGGCCCCCAAATGTAGGGCAATGATTAGGTGGAAGCTGTTGGCAGGGGAAGTGAGAATTGACCTGAGGCAGAACAAAGGAGATAGAAGTTCATTGAATCCAGAGCAAGGGAGCTGTGGACAGGACTGCAGAAGGGCTGTCTGCAAGAAAGTGGGGGCTGTTAATTAAAGGGGAAAGATATGGCGGTATTCATACAGATGGAATCTTCCCATTTTGGGGAAATGTACCTGGTTGTAAGTAGTTAATTGGTTAGTTAGGGCCTAGGGATATTTCAGGGTGGGTCACCTGATGGGCTTGTGGTGTTCAGCCAGGTGGGTCACTGCCCCTTTCCGCATTCCATTGCTCAAGGCTCTTTGCCTAAAAGCAGCCTCTGAAGAACAAACTGTTGCAGGTTCTTGTCTGGTGGCAGGATGAAAGAATGAATCTCAAGGACACAAAAGGGTAAAGTGATAGTTTATCAAGTGAAGGTGAGAATAGAAAAACAGAAGCATCATCATCCACAAAGTGATTTATAAGTGTCATGTCATGGAAAATGGTTCTTGAATTAATCACCATGACAGTTTTCTACTCTGGCACTTTTAATGTGTATATAACTACTTCCTAAATGTATGGATGGGTGCATGAAATGTAAAAAGATAGATCAATTTCACGTGGATAACTTTTTGTTTCCATCATTCTTGTCAACGTTTGACACCTGCTATGAACATTGGTTTAGAGTACTCTCGGTATGTTGACCTGCGTGTCCTTTTCAGTTGACTCTGGGACCCATAACCTGGGTTAAAACCTGATCCCTTGAATGTACTGGATGTCCTGGATATTTGACAAAATATTTACAAAAAATATAAGAATAATGTGTTTACTCTCTTCGATTATTACTATTTTTTTATTAATATATGAAAAACTGTTAGATGCTATCTACTATGAAATGCTCAGAAAGGCTCGTTGTTGCCTTTCGCGCTATTCTAGTAGAACCTAGAACCAATTGCTATAAAACCCATTCAGTTCCAAGTCCTCCAAGAATTCCTTCCTTCTGAGTTCTACCTCTTCGTTATTCATAAATGTGTTCCTTGCCCATAGGCTAAAGCCTTGTTAGAAATGCAGAGTCCTATTCCACCCCAGAACTGTTGAACAGAATCTGCATTTTCATGATATTGCCAATGCACTGTTGTGAAATTCTAATCACATTAGAATTTGATAAATACATTTGTAACCCACCAACACTTTGCATGTAAGAAATAGACACAACTTACAATGTATGATAATAAACAACAGTACTCAATAATGTGAATGCCTACATTGATGCCTTCAATTTACAACTTCTCTTGGATAAACACACAGTATTTATAATGGTTTTGTGGATCATTGCCATCCTCTTACCTCGAAGTTAAACAGTACATGAGAGCATATTACTGTGTTAAAAATTACCTTACTGCAGGTAACAGGAAACTCACCTAAGGAGAACCAGTTCTCCTAATATAACTCTACTAATAGGAGTTGACTCCTTGTTGAGTCACAAATAGAAACTACACCAGGTGGGGTTGTAACACAAAAGAAACTTGATTTGTAGGAAATAAGATTACAGGGGATAACTTCCAAAGCAGAGACTCACAAAGCAAGGGGAAATGATTTCCTTCTCCTTAGGGGTAGGGTGGATATTTAGAAAGGGGAGCCTGTCATCTTATGTAGAGCTGGGCATAAAGTTGCACATGGACCTTAACAAAACACTTCGCACATTAGGTAAATGACGTTTGTGCTTCTCCGTAGGTGGAGAATTTTAGTATTACAATGAGGTAAAGGTAACTGTAGACCACTCCATGGGTTACACCTTGGTCCCTCTGCCTCAAACTGGGCCAGCCCAAGCACATCCCCTGGGCAGTCATTACCTTTTATTGGATAGTTTCTGTTTTCACCACAGGAGACTCTGCCCATGGTGTGTTTTGGTTGAAGTAAAGGATAAGGCGGAAAGAAGAGGTTAAGTCAAATGTGGGATAAAGTTTGGTGGGTACAATCAGGCAGTGAAGGCCAGGTGTTGGGGAGTCTTGCTGGTGACATTAACTCCCTCTTTGATCTTAGGGACCATTATAAACTCTGCCTATGGCCACTGGGTCACTGTGGTATTTATTGCAGGGACTGCTGACATTCAGGGATGTGGCCATCGAATTCTCCCAGGAGGAGTGGGGATGCCTGAACCACACTCAGCGGGAATTGTACAGGGATGTGATGTTAGAGAACTACGGACACCTCCTCTTCCTGGGTGAGAATAACTCCTTCCAGATTTCCCAGACCACACTCAGGGTTTTGTTCCTTCCTTTGAAGACTGTCTCTTGGATGATGATTCTTTGCACAACTGGAATTCAGATCACTGCACTAAGGAACAAAAGTAAGGGTTTGTAGATGTAGACAAAAATCTTCCTGATGTTTGCATTTCAGCTTTAGCTTCCCCTTCCTTAAGGTAACATCATTTCTGTAGATTAGTGGCAATTCTAAATATTGAGGGGCATAAAATGGTGCTGCCCACATTTAAACTCCAATTTTTCGTCCTTACCATTGTATCGGTAGTACTTGGAAGTGCAAGTTAGGATGTGAATATTTGAAACTCCTGCATGTTCTGAAGGGGCTGTTGGTCAACAGTGTCTGGGATGGGAAATCATCTTTTAGAATTCTGCAATGTTCTCTCTTCTCTACTGAGCACAATGGTGGATTGAAAGAATCTCCAGCAATAGTTATATTCCATTTTTCTATTAACCAGGTCTCATTGTGTCAAAGCCTGATTTGGTCTCCTTTTTGGAGCAAAAGAAGGACCCTTGGGACGTGAAGAGAAAGAAGACAGTAGCCTTTCATCCAGGTAGGTGGGAATGAATGAAGCAGATGACAGAGGTGAGGTCCAAATGTGAATGATGAAGACAGACCTTAAAATGTGGTTCAAGTAGCTCTCCTTGAATGAAAATCAGTTGGAGCAGCCCAGTTTCATGTCACTGTCTCTCACAGAGGGACATCTGCTAGCCAACATTATCATGCTTTTATATTCTCGTATAAGAGTGATATAAATCATGGTGAAGTAAGTGTTCAGGGAATCATTATTTACATTAAAGTAAGATACAGAGGTGTACCTGGGTGGCTTAGTCAGCTTAGCATTCATCTCTTCATTTCAGCTTGGGTCATGATCTTCGGGTCTTGGGAAGGAGCCCCACGTTGGGGCTCAGCAGAGTCTGCTAGGGATTCGCTCTCCCCCTCTCCCTCTGGCCCTCCCCTGGTAATGCTCTCACATGCTCTTTCTCTAAATAAAGGATAAAATCTTTTTAGAAATATGATGAAAATAAAGTAAGATAGAGAAACATTGTGATTTTTAAATAGATTTGCCAGGGAGCTCCCGGGTGTTTCGGTCAGTTAAGCATCTGACTCTTGGTGTCTGCTCAGGTTGTGATCTCGGTGTCATGAGGTGGAGTCTGTTAGGGATTCCCTCTCCCTCTATCCCTCCCCCCACTCCTGCTCACTCATTTACTCTCTCTCTCAAATTAATAAAAGATCCTAAATAACTTGCCAGTTGCTGATTAAGGAGAATATGCTGGCAATTCATTAAAATCTGGTTGTATCTTCATTTTAGCAATTAATAGAAGTCAAGAACATTAGCTGTCCCACTGAAATGAAGAGATTTTCGTAGACATCTGAGTAAAGTATAGATAACTCTTCTGTAAAGGGTGTAAAATTAGCATACATCCACTTTTACTCAATAATTAACCTCAGTTTGAAAAGTATGAAAAGCACAACCCACAGATCATTATCTCAGAGGAACAAGAATAGTTCTTGAATGCTTGTAATGGGTATTTTGAACAAGAATCATACAGTGATACTGCAGTGGTTTTTTTAGAGTACGTTTGAAATTAATATGTTTTAATTAGTAACACTGAATGGATTTTAATGTGTTAACACTGATTTGGAAAGCAGTGTTACCCTACACGAACCTCAGCCTGCCCCACATTCATCAACATTGTACGTAAAGAGACAGAGACACAAAGTATACTTGACCCTTGAACTACGTGGGTTTTTGAACTGTGTGGGTCTGCTTACAGTGAGATTTAATTATAGTACAGTTCTGTAAATGTATTTTCTCTTCCTTCTGATTTTCTTAACGTTTTCTTTGCTTGAGCTTCCTTTATTGTAGGAATATCATATATAACATACAAAATATATATTAATTGACTGTGGGTTTTTTTTTTTTAATGAGAGGGAGAACAAGCAGGGGGAGCAGGAGAGGGAGAGGGAGAAGCAGGCTCTCCACTGAGCAGGGAGCCCCATGCAGGGCTCAATTCAGGACCCTGAGATCATGACCTGACACGAAGGCAGGTGCTTAACTGACTGAGCCACCCAGGCGCCCCTAATTGACTGTTTTTGATAAGGTTTTTTGTCGACAGCAGGCTATTGAAATTAAATGTTAGGGAGTCAACCTTCTACATGGATTTTTAACTGCATGGGGTTGGGTACTTTGAATCCCTGTTTTCCTCAAGAGTCAAGAGTCACCTGTATTTGTTAAAGCAGTGGGGTGATATCACTAATAATTTTTTTTCTCTGTGGCCTTTAACATCATTATTTGAGATTAGTTTCCCCAAGTTTAGGTAATACATATTTTCCTCCTTATTTTAACTGCTAGAGCAATATGATGCTTCTAAGAAGGATGATACAGATGTTTTTTATTAGAGTGTGGCTAAACAATTTCTTGATACTGCTGCCTTGGAATTCATTTTGTGTAACCAGACTACCTGCAGTCGTTTGAGCTGACTCTAGTCCCACCCAGTAGCAAATACACTAGATAAAAGCCCCCGAATGACAAGCAAAGGTGACTTCCTCAGTAGCCTTTGTGAGAGTGTCCACTGGCGGTATTTTACCTTAAGCCCTCCTTAGAGAAGATCCCCGCACAGTTTACCATACTCCACTCATTTTGGTTTGAGTTGTGCATTGTCGCCTTCGCCTGGGAACTCTAAAGCACTTCAACCATGGACTCTCAGAAAGGCATCTGCCCCAGTTCTTGCCATTCTCTCTGCCTGCACTTAGTCTTGACCTCTTCATGTTGTCCCTCAAGGCATATTATGTACATCCTCCAGGATCTATGACTAGTAAACTTTATTTTACTTTCCTTGTTGTTTTTAATTGAACCATGACTCATCAAGCAATCCCTAGGGGTCCTACTTAACAACTGCTAATTGAACAAAGTCAATACATACATAATTACAAGCCATATCTACAGAATTTTCAATTACTGTTTATAAAAGTTTACCCTATATTTTTCTTTGCTTGTTTTCATGAGTATACAGAACACAACATTTTATGGTTTTGATATGCACAGAATGTAAAATGTTATATTAAGCTAAAGATATATTTCGGAATAAAAGAATAATTAGGAAGGAGTACGTATGTGTGTATGTGTGTGTGTTCCTATATCTTCAGAAGGAGAGGGAATATTGGAGCAAAGAAGGTTTTTTCCAAATTTCAAAATTCATGATTCCCTAGTAAACAAAAGTGGGATAGATTCATAATGGGAATAATTTTCTCTACATTGTGTTGAATTTATTTCTCCTAAATCTCATGTACCTTGGCTTGAAAATCTCCCCATGCAAATCATGTCTTGTCTACCTCCCTATTTCTCAGGTAGGATCTACTCTGTTTTCCTTGTTCCAGTGTTCAGGAACTGTTGCTTATATGTTTTAGTCAGGGATTTTAAGAAGAGTTTGCATGAAATGACATGGTGTTTAAAAATCCACCTAAATATGGGAGTAATTCCTCAATGAGCATATTAAATTCCATGTAGTTTAATTGCTCCATTTCACTTCTTCCTTCTCAAGTGGAGAAGAACACTAAGTGAGATTTCTTTACTTACTATTCTTTTCCCTTCTTGGAAATGACATCATCCAAGGTAGTCACTTTATTCTAACAGTTTGATTAGGTGAAAAGTTGGAGACTTCATTGAGTCATGGTTGTTTTAACATTCATTTGAAGGGACTAAGCATGGGACAGTGGTCAAGGCTTAGTAGATGTTCTAAACTTAGGAAGAAAACAATACTGTATTGGGAGTGATGATGTAGCCCAAGGTGACATGAAAAATATCTAGGCTAAAGAATTGGCATGAATTCTTCATGTGGGGAGAGGACACCTGTCCAAGGCGGCACTACTGAGTCTAAACTTAGAAAGATTAATTTCACTTGTTTTCCTTCCAAATCTTCTCCAGTTTTTCCATGTCCTTCTCTCCTTTATGACCTAAGGCAACACAGCTGTCCTCCTTTCCTATGTTACGGAGACTGCATCGTCACTGCTCTCTCCCTCCCACACAGGCTCCACAGCCCCTTGTCGGTTGTTAGGAGCAGCTTTAAATTTTTAATTGAATGGGAAGTGGTTGGTCACTGGATCATTTGAGACCATATGTAAGATTTAAATCGTATGCCATCACCACATCCTTGGTAGAATAGGAAAACACCATCAGTGGGCCACAGGATTACTTCAGGCACTTGGTACTAAGAGTTGTGAGGACAGATAAAACATGATAATGGTGTCCTTCGAGAGGGAGATAAGGCTTACTAAAGCAAATATGGGCAATTGTAAGAGATTTTATTTATTTATTTATTTGAGAAAGTGGAGGGGGGAGAGAGTGAGAGGGAGAACAGGGGTAGAAGGAGGGGCAGAGGCAGAGGGAGAGGGAGAAGCAGACTCCCCCTGAGCCTGGGATCATGACCTGAGCTGAATGCATACGCGCAACTGACTGAGACACCTAGGTGCCCCTGGAAAACTCTTGTAATGTGGGGGAAAGAACTGGTAGAGAGCTCCCTTTGGTCACTGCAAGGTCTTAAGAAGCTTCTGGTTGGGGGCGCCTGGGTGGCTCAGTCATTAAGCATCTGCCTTCAGCTCAGGTGGTCCTGGGATCGAGCCCCGCATCGGGCTCCCTGCTCAGCGGGAAGCCTGCTTCTCCCACGCCCCCACCCCACCCCACTCCCCCTGCTTGTGTTCCCTCTCTCGCTGTCGCGCTCTCTCTGTCAAAATAAATCTTGGGGAAAAAAAAAAGGAATCTTCTGGTGATGACAAATGTCACAGAGTTGGGGACTTGGGAAATGTGGTAGTTTTCTGGGATTCAGGGATGTCAGATCCTTTACTCCTGATTTCATGAATTCTCTGGTGGTTCTCAGGGCCAGGTGCTATTGGGTGACAGATTAACTGTACCTTTCCAGGTATAGGCATGGGAGTGGGTGGAGAGAGGATATTTGTGGGCATAGATTCAAGATGTCATTTGACTGAGTTGACGCTGAAGATGAAGAAGGCTTTTTGGATACTACTAGGCAGAGGCAGCAAGGTTGTGGTCTCACAAAACTCTGGTGTCCCAGGTATATAACCGTAACATAGGTCTGATTCACTGTACATGAATGACATTCCAGGGATGCTGACCCACAGCTGGCAGGGACCTTCCTCACTTCCACTCAGCCCGTTGATGAATCTAGTCCTGTACTCGGCACTGTGTGCAAGGCACTGATTACCTGAGGAGCAGATCATGAGTCACCTGCAGTGAGCATGTCTGCTTCAGACAGCCCGCCCAGTTTTTAGTCTTTTTTCTTTTTCTTTTCTTTTTTTTTTAAGATTTTATTTATTTGACAGAGAGAGACACAGCGAGAGAGGGATCACAAGCAGGGGGAGCGGGAGAGGGAGAAGCAG